GGATCAGTCACGTTCAGGGTGGCATGGCAGTAGACGATACTATATCTAATTTAAATACATCATTTTACAGATGAAGAAATTTATACCCGTAGATGATGGGTAGGATTTAAACTCAGTCAGAAGATAAGCATCAGGATTAGGCCCAGAGCTTCAGTCTTTTGCCGGCTAGCTCTGTGCACTTTTTTACGAGGCTGTGTGGGCAATAAATGTATGTTGTCAGCATCCATCCCCAAGTTCACACCCAAGGTGCCAAAGGGATGCACCTGATTCTCTGACTTTCATTTCCCGTTCTCCACATACATGATAAAAAATGTACCCATTCTAGACCTTGTTCTTTTGGGGTCCACTTTTTATGAAAGTGGACTACAGCCAGCTTTCTTAGTACTCTAGCTTTCATAGAGGACAATTGAGTGAATCTGAGTTTTCTCTAAGGTCTGAGTGTGTGCTAATGGCCATTTCTTATCAATCCACAAGAATAGGCTAACGAGAAGAATTGTGGAACAAAACTGTTGCTGCCCTTGTCATTGTGATATCTCAGGCCTGGGCATAGAAAGGGTGTATTTAACAGTGCAGTGCTTAGTTTTTCAAAATTTGGTTAAATTTTTGGGACTAATGGAAAATTTCACCTCTTGGCAGCAATACAAGGGTTAGAGTTTTTTTGTTTTTGTTTTAAATTCCCTTAATTGTAATAAGTTAATATATTTAATTAAGTGGAAATAGACCTTAGCTTTACCTAGTACATCTGTTTGTCTTATATTCTCAAAGCCATTTTTCTTAAATATTAGTTCACCTTGAGCATTCATTTGGCCCAGTGGATTTATAATCATAAAATGTCCATCTGTAACTAAATTTTTAAAAATTATAGATATTTCCTAATTTTCCTGATGTTCATGTAGCTCCTTCTTTTAGATGATCTATACTACAGAACATATGTTCACTTACTAAGAATGACTACTTAGAAATGAAATATTACGTATACAACAGTAATTTAACTCAACAAAATCTCAGGGTAAAATCTATTTAATTTTATATTAGTGCTAGTTATTGAAAATAAGTTTTTAAATACTTAAAATTCAATATCTCTAGGAGATTGCCTGCAATTATTTGTAGGAATCGGTGTATTGGGGCAGACTCAATAACAAATTCTGCCTTTATATAGAATTACCACCTTTGTTAAACATCAGTTACAGCAATACTTCATTTTTTTTTACATGAAAGAAACAGTCAAATAGTTCCCCTAACAGACTGTCTGAACCGAAGATGCATTCCAGGAGGAGCGTTATGCTACATCACCTCACTGCTCTGGCAATGATTATAACAAAACAGTTGGTACAGAAAAGTTAGGAAGCCTGAGTTTTGTGGTACACATTTCTACCTAATTTTATGAAATATATAGTTTAAGAAGCATTGCTTTCACTGTTTGTCTGTAAGATATAGCTAATGCTTAATAAAATCTGGGATATAAGTCCATTGTATTTTTGTACAGAGCTTGTGTGTGGAGAGATGGGGCATTTACCAGCTTTATCTTAGTTTCAATTTTAACTTCTTACCTAAGGTGGTGTGTGATGTTCACCACTACTTTCTACTTGCCATATAGAAAAAGAGAGTCACTACTGTGCTATCATGTGCAATGTACCACACAGTTGATGGGACGCAAAGTGGTGACTCTGCACGTGCACATCATATATAGCATTGATTTTTTTAATCGGATAGTTTATTCATTTCCTTTAGTATTTCTAAGATCTGTGGATTTGTAGGAAGATTCTCTTGAGCCTGTTAAGCATTGTCCCCCTCTCCTTTTTTTCCCAACAGCTTTATAACTTATTTTTTGTTCTTAACCAGTCTGGATTTTACTTTTGTTAATGATACGAATTAGGAATATTTTTGAGATGGCTATCTCATTCTTTCTCTACTATTTATTGAATGGAAAAGTAGAGGAGTGGAACAGAATAGAGTATAAAAATAGATCTACCCTGAGGCCAAAACTATTGCCATAATAAATGAAGTTTTATTGTATGTTTTAATATCTGATAGGGTCTGTTTTCACCCTTATTCTTCTTTTTCAAACAACTCGTTAGTTTCCATGAAAAATGTGGGTGGGATTTTAATTTTGATTGTACGGAATTCATAAATTAAAATGGGACAAACTGACGTTCAGAGTATTTTAGGAGCACAGATGTCTTACAATGTTATAGATTTTAATCCAGGAACACAGTATGGCGTTACACTTATTCAGAGCTTTTTTTATTCTTTGGTTAAGTTTTATAGAAAAGGATATTTTTGCACATTTATAACCAGTAATTCTTGGATATTTTATAGTTTCTGATCTTTTCCATTATACTTTCTAAAGCTATTGTGGGGTTTCTTTTGGCACATACATTTTTTAATGTTACTTTCCTGAACTCTTGTTAGTTCTCATATATTTTCTGTTAAATCTCTTGTATTCTCCAAGTAAATAATAGCTTAATCTACAAATAATGAGTTCTGGATTTCCTTTTTCAAATTTTTTTTTTGGTTTTCCTTATGTGCCCACATAATTTACCAAGACTATAATATAAGCAAACTGAAAATGAAAAGTATCTTACATTATTTCTTTTCTACAGAAATGACGATGTAATCATCTGATTGCTAGATATAGTAATATATGTGGCCAATATGTAGTCATATCGTTTTTTGTTTAATTTGATTTTAGCATACCTTTAAATGAACTTTATAAACCAATCTGATTGGGGAAGAACATTTAATAGCAGAGTATTTTGAGATCCTGAAAGTCAAGAAGGTGTTGATTTACTCGAAAAAATTCTCTTATACTTACATTTCATATATATATGCATATATATGTATGTATATCTACAGACATACACATATACGTATACACACATATACATACCTATGTATACACACATTTATTTATTCACTTAGTATGTACTAACAAAATTGAACTGTGTTTCAGAATGAATATTATTTAAATCCTTGTTCTGCAATAATATACTTGGACCTATTAGCAGAAGTAGACAAGGGGCAAATATTAATGGAATAATTTCCACATATATCTGCCAGTGGTTTCTAGGATGTATAAGTTACAGATCTGGTTAACGTTTTTTGTGTATTGTTAAAGTTTGCTCCCCTAGGCATGTTGCATTATAGTCCACTCAACTATTAATGTTTTCTAAAAGATAGATACAGATTCTTTTTTTATCTAGGGTCTTATATTTGAAATATACATTCCACCTCTTCTGCATTCGAATATATGAATCTTTGTTTGTTAAGATGGAACTAAAATATTTCCCTCTTTATGAAATGCTTCCTTTTCTTACACAAACAAAAAGAATTACTTGGTATATTCCTCTGTTACATTAGTTATCACATTATATTGTAGTTGTTTATTTTGATTTCTGCATTCCTACTAAGCTGTGAGCTACTTGAGACTGTGCCTCTCCAGTGTCTGGCATTGAGTTCATACTCTAAACTTTTGTTGAATGAATAAACATGAATAAGTGATTACCAAAATATATAAGAGAAGTAAAAGATGAAAAGAGCTGTCTAAGAGAAACTCATAAATCTGACAATTTAAGAAAAACATTAGAGGGTCCTATACAAGGGGCATAGGAAGCATATTTTATGAAAGGACTAATAAAAAAGGTACAAACCCCATGGTTTAGGAATGTGCATTTTGATGCAGGAATGTTTATTATGGTAGAGAAATGCAGTAGAGACTGAGTGGCATGAGAGTATGAAAACGTGTTGAAAGTCAGGAAGAAAAACAATTCATTCTGGTATAAATCCTATAAATCACATGATTTTGTGAAGTATGTACCATTAGAAACCACACTCCATCTGCTTCTATATATGCAATATGTATTCCTGGTTTATAGGTTACCATATATAGCTTGCAGGAGTTGCCAGTTTTTCCATAATGTGAATGTAAAGCACACCTGGACTAGCAGGGCCAGCTTCAAAGGCAATAGACTAGATTTCTTTCATCTCTGACCTTCTGTTCTGCTTTCTATTTACGGCTTTTTATGTGTATATATATTTTCAAATGACTCATTCTTAGATTTTAAGATTTTAGGGAGACATTATGGAGTTTTTCAGGCACAGTTTAGGTGCTTAATTATTGCATTTAATTGAAAATGTCCATTTTTATTATACATATTAACTGGACTTGATGAATTATACATTTCTTTTAAATGTTCTTTAATGTGTTAAGTGAGGGGTTGTATACCTATTTCCAGTTACTTTTCAAATAAAACAAATAATTCAGCAGAAATAAGGACAACCAAATTTTTTATGGCTACATCTGAACACCACATTTAGTAGTCTTTTGAATGACGTAGGTAGGAAAGAAAGAGCTGGCAATGTCCTTCATATTCGTTCTATCACTCTAGGGCTATATTTTTGTAGTCATTTCATTGAAAGGTTCAGTGAGAATTTAATTTAAATCTACATGCAAGTAAAATAAGAGATAACAAATGAGACCCTAACACAGCCCGGTAGAATACAGACTAAAAATCAATTTCAATGATTCGATGATTGAAATATAGTTATAGTAATCACACACTACTACAGTGTTTGGGCTTGTATAGGTCATAGGTCAGTGTGGTGTTTGCTTAGGTAGCTTCAAGACACATTAGGTTAGTTTTGTCAGGAACCAACAGAGCATTGTAGCTAAAATGGTATATACTCTGATTCTATAAAAAGCGATGAATATTGCTATCCAAATAATGGTATTGGTATTCTTTGGCTGCTGTTGTCTCCCAAATTATTAAAAGTGGTAGAATGACTCATACATATTTTAAACTAGTAAGTTATTTTTATTCTCATTCAGTTTTCCTTTTCTTAACATCTCAATTGGTTTTAAAAACCACGCAGTTGTTTAGATGAAATTCATCATACAAATTTTTAACTTATGTAGCTTTGGATACTTAGCAGTTACTTTTTTTTAATTAAGAAAGCCATCCTTTCTGGAGTATCATCTTTTTGTTGACCTCTTCCTACAGGTTTTCAGCACATATTCCAATGAAGACTATGACAGGCGAAATGATGAAGTTGACCCCGTGGCTGCTTCAGCTGAGTATGAACTTGAAAAGCGTGTAGAAAAGCTGGAACTTTTCCCAGTGGAACTAGAGAAAGGTATATGAGCTCTACAATGTTTATTATATTATTATATTGTTATGTTAAGTATATAGAAATGACTTTCATTTTCATAAGTACAGCCTTTTTTCCCCGTAAAGATTCGGTCCAGTTTTAATTCTCATGCAGGATTTTGATTATTAAATTTCAAAAATAGTTGATACGAATACTGTATAGATGGTGGATTGAAAGATTCTGTCCTCTCCCAACTGAAAGCCACCTACTTTACGTGGCTAGGATGGCAGCTAGGAATAAGGAGGTGTGAATGAGGCCTGATGCTTGGTTGGTACTCCTGCAAAGGGCAGGTGCAGGTGAGAGCCCAGAGAGCCGCTGTGAGGGAGCACTTAGGGCAGGTGGATGTTTTTGTTTTGTTTTGTTTTTTGAGGGAGGAAGAGTGGTCATGGTTAGACTCCAAATGTGTAGATATGGGAAATGCTGGGCCTTTAGAAAATTATGGATTTTAGAATGGAGGCAGTGAAATCCTCTTCATCTGTGATGGGTAAGGGGCTAAAACAGAACAAGGAGAATGGGGGTGGGGGGAGGGTCCAGCTCCTGATTTTGCTGCCTGGAATCACAGCCAGCCTGCTGTAGTAACTAGAGGCTGAAGGACCAGAGAATTTCACGTTTGTCATCATGTAAGGTGGGCATCTGTGAACTGGACAGTGTGACCTAATGATCAGAAGAGTCACATCTCAGAGAGTTTTGGGAAAACCACAGAACAAACAGATAACAGTTAGAATAACAAAAAAGAAACAGAAAAACAAATAAGGATATCCAAGTATGGCTTTAAAAATACATTTTAAATCAATTAACAATAACAACAATGAAATGATTTTAAAAAAATAAAAATTTCAGTAGAGGAATTGAAGAGGAAAGGATGGTGGTTGTTGAGATCAAACTGGTGACCCAGAAGTTCAAATGACAGAGTGAAAATCCAAGAAAAATCATGAAGGAGATCCAACATATAAATTGTAGATAACGGAAGGGGAAATAACAACAGAGAATGAGAGACATATTAGACAAATAATAAAAGAAATTTCCCTGAGCTGAGAAAAGACCTGAACCTCATGTTTGAAAGGGCTTAGCCAGTTGGTTACAAGGACTTAAAAAAAGTTCAACACTTTAAGCATAGGCCTGGAAAACTCCTAATCGTCAAATATAAAATGAAAATCTTACAAAATACCAGACCAAAATCAAAGCAAACAAAGAAACAACGGTACTTGCAAAGGCAAAATTATTAGACTAACATCAGACTTCTCGTCTGCAACCCTGAAAGTAGGGAGACATACATATAATTTCACACACAGCCGAGAAGAAAAGGATGGTGATCTAAGAACCCTACATCCATCCCAGAGAACGTTTACCTGGTAAAAGAAAGAAATGTGCTGATATGTAAAGATTGAAAGAACACATCATGCACATACTTCCCAATTAGCAGGGAGGGAAAGAAATGACGAGCGACTTGTTGAAAACAGCAGAATGAGGGGAAAATAGTCGAAAACTATGTGAGTAGTATTAAGCGTAAAATTGCTTGGATGAAACAAATATAAAGAATACCAGTCCTACTAAACATGACTAGCTTAACTATTCCCATTAACAGACACATTCATTTGATCTTAAATAGAGTGTAAGAGTGATACTTACATTTTTCATTCATTTAAAAATGTAAAATTTATACAATTTATCCTTGGCTCATGACCCATACAGAAAAAGCTGGATTTGGCTGTAGGCCATTGTATTGCCTATAATAACAAATAATGAGAACAATTTGAATTTTCATCAATGATAGAAAAGGATCTATAAATCGCAACATATCTATTCAATGAAATATTACCTAGCAGTAAAAATGAAGGAGCCACAGTTCCATGTAACAGTATGTATGATTCTTACAAACATGAAATTGAAGGGTGTGGAAAGCACATCACAGAAGAGGTCATTCAGTATTATTTTGTTTGTTTAAATTTCAAAATCAGGAAAAATAAAACATTTTTTAGAGATATACAAATATTTTTCAAAGATGTAAGATCTAAACACATGGAATGATATACCATATTCTTGGATGAGAAGACTTAATACAGTAAAGCCTCTCCTATACTCTATCTCTGATACATATAAATATATAAATAAATTTACTGCAATTCAAATAGAACTGCCATGAGAGTTGGATTGGGAAAAGGGATTCTATAATATAATTCTAAAATTTATATGGAAAAATAGAGACCTAAGGGAAGTATGGAAAAGAATGCAAAATGATTTAACCTCCCAAATATCTGAATATAGTGTAAAGCTTCTATTATCAGAACAAATTGTATTCACGTAGCTATTGATCGGTGGAATGAAAATGAAAATTCAGAGAAGGTTATTAGTCTGCATGAGAATTTGATATATGACATGTATCCTATTCTAATTTAGAAGTAACAGGGTGCTTTACAAATTGTTCTGGCTTAACTGAACATCTATCTGAAAGAAGGCTGGATACCTTCATTTTTATTACATTATATATAAAAATAATCCTATGTGGATTAAATAATTAAATATTAAAAATAAAATAATAGAGACCTTTGATGAACATTTATAAGACTACATATTGCATCTAGGCTTGTGGGAGGAGGGGCTTAACCAAAATGGAAAACCAAAAGTTATAAAGGAAAAGATGGACCAATCACATTATCCCAAATTTTAAGCTTTTAAAGGCAGTATTGTCAAAGCTAATAGATAAGTGATAAATTTGAGGGAAGGAAATTTTATAGATGATGTAGCATTAATGTCTATATTATGCTAAGCATCTTTGTAAATTATCAGGAAAAAAGAGAGACAAGCAAGATTCAGTAGAAAAATTGTCAGTTTACTGAAAAAAATCTAATGACCCACACTCATATGAATGAAAGCGCAAATCTCAGCAGCAATGGGAGAATGCCAAACCAGCATGAGCTTCTTTCCTGAGAGAGAAAATAGGCTCCGAACTCCAGAGCATGGTGATGGCATTTTCTGTAATAACAGAGCCTCACAGTCTTTTCCATCTATTCCTAGCTGCTCTGCTTACTTAGTACTCTGCCTATTCCCAGGAGAATATGTACAGATGAAGACAGGGTGGCTGCTGGGTTCTTGACAGTGTAGCCACAAGAATCAGTGGCTTCAAGTATGTGGCTCTGGACTTCACCCATGCTTAACAGACACATCTCAGAGAAAGCTGTACAGAAGATGAGATGAGTTCTCTGGTCTCTGTGGGTTGATTGTACTCTAATTGATTTTCATTATCACCATCTTTCAGGTATTACACACTGGCTCAAACTAATAAAGCTTTTCTCACAATCAGGTTTTCAGCTCTACAAATCTAAATAATTTTCCAGTTAGTTTAACAAGAGGCACTATGGAAAGAAGAAAGATAATTTTTACTAAAACCTGAATCCAGGCAGGGAAAATGGATTTGAAAACTAAAATGCAATTTTCATGCAGGATATTTGCAGAAAGAAATGATTTAATGGCGTGATAGTACAGAGAATCAACATTTGAGAGGCACCCTTTGAATATTTTGAGTGTGACAATTCATAATAAAGAGAAACTCCTATAAACGTGGCAATTCATAATAAAGAGAAACTCCTATAAATACAATGAATGTGAGCAAGAATTCAGCTAATACTTAATATACACCAGAGATTTCATGCAAGAGAGAAACCCTATGACAATATTGAATGTAGAAGAATCTATAGTGATCATCTCTTAAACAACACAAGTGGCTATCTTTGAGGTATTATTGAATTAGCAAACATACTTGGTGGGAGACTTATTTGGATATAAACATGATGGGAAGACTTTGGGTCATCATTCATCCCTTCATCAACATGAACAAATTCACACTGTAGACAAACCTTATGCGTGTGGTGAATGTGGGCAAGAATTCAGCCATACAGCTAATCTTTATGTACATTAGAGAACCCATGTAGGGGAGAAGACACTTTTTATGTATAACCAGTGAGGAAGAGCCTGCAGCATAGATCTAACCTTCATGTGCACAAGAAAAAGATTCTGTGGAGAAACCCTAAAACTATAATGAATGTAGGAAAATTTTTAGCAAGAGGAAGCCTCTTGATGAACAATTAGAATGAAATAAATATGAGAAGTCACCTGCGTGCAAACATTCTAAATGTAAGAAATGAAGGAAAGTCTCCAGCCATCACTCATACATTAGCATTGAAGTGCTCACACTGGAGAACACCCACGCCCAGAACTAGTGTGGGGAGTGCCTTCAGCTGGGGATCACATCAGACGGTTTCTCCAGGGAGAACACTCTATAAAGCTTTCTTTAGCGTGCAACTGAGCAAATGAATTGCACTTTTGCCAAATGACATATTTTTAAATATCTTTATTTAGGATGTCGGATTTTGAGTTGTACTTATATGTAGGATTATGAATTGTACTCAGAAATACTTAAAGCAGAATTGGTGACAAGGAATAATCAATGAAATGAATCATATTCGAAAGATTACTAATTAAGAATATTCAGTATATTAAAAATTATTGCTAAAAAGTTTTTTAAAGGCATCAGCATTCTGTTGAGTACATGAACCAGGTTTCCTTTAATAATCTACAGTTAATTAGCTAGTATCTACTTTTTTATGCAGCTAATACAACATAATAACAAAGACTTTGAGGCTCTCAGAAAATAACTTTGAATGTTACCCAAAAACTGTGGATTGTAAAATAGAGTATCTCTTATATCATTGATGTTAAAATATATATGTAGATGTTAAAATATATAGAAAGGACAGATGGAAATATGGATAAACACATGATTTGTAAGTGAATGAAGAACAAGATATTTGTCAGTATTGTTCACAAAGCCAAGAAAATGGAAACAAAAGTGAATGCCTATCAGTAGAGAAATGGTTAGATATATTATGACATCTAATCTCACCATGAAATATTATGCAGTCATTAGAAGTGATCTAAGGCTATGTAAGTGGCTATCTATGAGGTATTATTGAATTAGAAAAATAAGTTGAAGTAGGTATAATATGATCTTTTTTGGTGTAAAGTAAATAAGAAGGGGGAAAAAAGCCATATATACAAACTAGTTGTCGATATGATTATATCCTTGTATGGTAGGACAGAGACAGTAGTGAAAGACACATGGGATCTTATTAATGTGAATAGGGATATGGAACAAGTAGAAAAGAAAAGAAGACCACATAAATAAAGGGGAAATTCCAGATATATTATGATCACATTTATTTAAAGTAATATCTATGGCTCAACCAGGAAAAGTTAAGCCAGAATGGTCAACCTAGAGATGCATCGTAAAATTATGAACTCCAAAGAATTCTTTGTGAAAGCAGGCAAAAAGAAAAAAACTGGATAACTAATGGGAATGAAATCAGACCAGCCTCAGAGTGACTAAAAGATAATAAAACATACTTTCTTTTCTTAAGGAAAGAAAATATGACTCAAAAATTTTATTCCCCCTAAAAAAACAAACAAATAAATAAAATAGGTGTGTTTGAGTGTGTATGCTTTTGTGCTTAAAATATTATATTGTTTAGAGAGCCTGTGTTTTAAGAATGATTGAGTCCTCAATAATCAAATTATTACCTTTTCTTAGGATCACAATGAATATCCAACTGCAGTAGTAAAGTGAGATTAAATTCATGAGCCTTTTGTAGGATCTTTTTTGACACCCTTGCTCCCCAGCATAGAAAAAAAATTCTGCCAAGGCAATCATATCACAGAGTTCATAAAGAACAAAATTAAAAAAGCAAATAGGTCTAATCAGCTAATTGCAGACTAGTGTAACACTTAGGTTGTTTTTTTCCCCCCTCTCTTTCATAGATGAGGATGGACTTGGTATAAGTATTATTGGAATGGGTGTTGGAGCAGATGCTGGACTTGAAAAGCTGGGGATATTTGTCAAAACTGTAACAGATGGCGGTGCTGCCCAGCGGGATGGCAGGTAAGCTAAGTGCTGTCATCAATAACTAAAATCTAGGAAACTTTTCTGGGAATTTCTTTCAATGGTAGTTTTCTTCTTTCGCTATTTTAGGACATAATTTCAGAGTGTGTCTTATATGTGGAAAATATTCAAACACTTGAATTACTTTCTGATTTGTAGGCAGAATACCTGATGGTAAATGAGTGGATGGATCTATTATCTATATCTACCTCTGTACCTGTCCATTCATCAATCTAGTAGAAAGTGAGGAGAAATATGGGTGTATATAGTTTAAGAATATGTACTGTGGAAAGCAGCATGTAGTTTCATTTCAGAAATATTAAAACATGTTATAATAGATGCCAGCTACAGAAAAATGAGGCAGAAGGCAAACCTTGGATTACGATAGTTCACAGGAAATGACGATCCAGTGTTTTTTCACAATGAAGGCCATGAGACCTGACTACTTTCCATTTACCTGCCCTTCCCTTACTGGGAAAAATTCAGCCTCAACTCAGATACCATGGTTTTGGTATTGCTCCATCCCCAGTGGTCAAAAAGATGACATCGATACTAAGACTTCATAAGAATGAGCCTTCCTAACACCGAGAGACCACAGTATCCAATCAAAAGGTTGGCTATCAATACATCCTTCAGACTGACTTACGACCAGATGGGGGAACTTTGGATGAGAAAATGGGTTCTGTAGAAAGTAACCTCACAGGGTATCTAATCATAAATTCCTGGGCAGGTCATGGCGAGTAGTCATACCTCAGGCATATAAGTAAAAGGTTTATTTGTGCCTTAAGCAAGCCCTGTCCCTTGTTATTTTGCATCTAGATAAACGCACCTTTGAAATACCAGAAGTAATGTCTCTGGAAGGGAGTATTAACCCTTAAGAGAGCATGTAATCTTGTTAACTCTGCTGTAATCCAATTCCTGCCCTACTTTTCCCATCTCCACGTTATCTTCCTTCCTTATCTGTCCTCCTTAATTTGAAATGCATTAAAGAAGTTGCAAAACTGTTATCTCCTGAGCACTTGAGATCTTGATTTCTGGCATATGTCGTCAGTTTGGCTCAAATAAACTCATAAAATTGTTAAAAAAAAAACAAAAAACAAAAAAAAAAACCCACCCCAGAAATATCAAACAAGCGATAATAGGTCTGGCATTTTTGAAAATGACAGAGGTGGAAGGGAAAATAGGAACTCTAATTCTGCATTGAAGGTAATTCAGGAGATCAATGTCTCTCAAAAAGTGTTCTGTCTAAAAATACAAGTTCTTGAGCAGAACTTAAACCTGAGGAATTAAAATCTCTAGGAAAGAAGTCCAGCAATCTCTGCTTTAAACATTCACCTTGGGCAATTTAGATGTATGCCAAGCATCAGATCATTGTTTTGTCTTAGTTTTCATCATCTCAAGCTACAAGTATCTTTAAAAACTTTGATTACTCTCCACTCCAGGCTCCATCAGGATGCTGCATCAGGTTGGGGTTGAAGCAGAAGGTTGGCAATAGAAATAAAAGACCCAAAAATATGAGTACCAAATTCAAAGAAAAATCTTATTTTTCTAGGGACATTGAATAACTGGCTTTGATTTTTTTTTTTTAAAGTTTAAGTATCTGTCATTTAACCATCTTCTCAAGAAATAAAGCATGTTGAAAATCATTTGTGAATCTCTGCTGAGACTCATAGTAGCATTATTTCTTTTGTAATCCTAATAACACATATTGATGTACACAGATATTTCCCAAGGGGAACTAAATTGATTTATTAAAATAAAAAGCCACACCTTGGGTATCATCTCTTTCCATAAAGTTAGGGACTACATCTTAGTCAGTAGCTTTATTTATATTCCCACAGTACTAGAATAGAGAAGTTCTGAAGTGAATCTTTTGAGTGAATGTTCAGCAGACTAAATATGTATCGCACTTAATACAAAGTGGGATATTAACATTTTATGTTTAAAAGTAATTTATTAACAGTCTTCTTCCATTTTAGAGTAGTTATGGAAATAACCTCTTTACTCCTTCAGTGAATTACATAATGTTTACAGCAATAAACATTATTTAGAGTCTTTCTTCCAATTGAGCTAAAACATCTCTTTAAGTTTCATGAAAAATTTAAGTCATTCTAAAGTGATAGGACATAATTCATATTATTAGTATTCGAACAATACTAAATTATTATGATCATCCCTCTTAAGTAAATGAGCCACAAAGCCAAACTTAAATACAGAGTAATTAAAAAACAAAAAGGTAGAAAATTTTGCAGTTGGCACTCAGCCAGTTCCTGTTGTTCTAAAAGCAGATCTATTTGTTTTTCCATCACTCATTTTAAAAATTAGGTTGATTTTCTATTAACCTATTTACTGATTTGTTCTCTTGTGCAGTTTTAATATTTACACCAACACGAGATCTTCGCTTTATCAGTTACGGTGTGCATCTCCTCAACCTTTTTAAATGAATATTTCCTAGTATAGTAATTCTATTGTTATAATAGATGCTTAATAAATGTCTCAGTGAATATATTAAGAAAGGTCACTCAATGTAATGAAATGAACAGAATCTTTGAGATCATGTGACCAGGAGTCTTAATTTCATCCCCTCTACATAGAGCTGTGGTATATTAAAACAAATTACTTAATGTTATCTACATTGTTGTATTAAATAAACTCATATAAATAAAAAACCTTTCATGGTACAGTTTATGAAACTGTACTTGAATGAAGTAGGAATAAACTTGAAAGTTGTTAAGAAAATAGTTATGGGAAGTCATGAAAAACTATAGTATATTTTATATATCTGTAGAAAGATATATAAAGTGCATAGAATAATATATATAGAATAATAAAATTTTGGAGGTCAGTGGGATTTTAGAGATTTTTCAGTTCATACCTTTTATATGTATATGAAAATTGAAGATATATCTATATACGAAAATAAGCGGTCTCATTATTAGACCTATGGTAGTGTTCGTATCCTTTAAATTATTATATTATTATTTCCACTATTTCTGGTGTGCTCATTTGCACAGTATTTAAATGTTTACTATTTAAAAGATATCAGTATAAAACAATTACAAAAGGAACAGTTGGTTGCTGCCTCCAGTCAATAATAATTTTTAAAAAGTTGTGTTACATATGCTTATTGATATTGTATTTAAGGATTCACAAAACATGATTAGTGTGATGCCATTCTTGTGTGGGTGTTTTCTATTTATTCATTCTTTCCAGCCCCGCCCCCCAACTTCTCTTTCCTTTCCTCTTTTTCTCTCTCTCTCTCCCCATCTCTCCAAAAAACTTGGAATTAATACACACCAAAATATTAGATGACTATACTGGCTGTTTTTTGGATTTCAGATAATCTGGAATATTTAATTTTTCCAGTGAGAGAATATATAATACTTACATATATTTTAAACTACAACTAAAAATAATAAAATTACTTCCATGTGACCTAGGGAAAGTTATTCTTCAGACTTCAGTTGTGGACAGAATTAAAGTTCTGGATCAGATGTTCTTTGTAGTCCTTTTAGCTTTAAGCAGATAAGCGTCGGTATTATACCTTTCTAGCTTGCTTTATTTTCTTAAAAACTCTCTTATTTAAGAAAACTATTTCAATTTAACCTAAGATTTAGTCATACTTCCTTCAAGGGATGTTAAATAGCAGACATATTTAGAAAATTCTTTTCTCTCTCTTTTCCTCTTATTAGCTCAACAGAAGAAGAAGAAGCCTTTTTTATTGATTGCTTTTACCCCTTACAAACGTCTCATAAGCTCTCACCACATTTTGAGTACTTTAAAAAATTTGCCAGATATTTATCTCCTGACTCGTCTAGTGTACTTAGAAAGTTTTGAGGCTTTCTTATTCTTTGATATCATGTCCTGCTTTCTAAATTTTCTTGCGTAAAGCTTTTCATGTCTGTTTGTACCTTTTCATATGCCTGAAACATAGAGGGTGCTCAATAAATATTCGTGAGTGAGTGAATACTTGTGCTTTAATTACTTCCAACACATTTACTTGGGGCTAACATTTTTCTTTTTATTCTGTTCTATCATATTCTCTTTCTCCCTCTCTCCTTCTCTCTCCCTTTGCGCAACTTTGCCTCTTACAGGGTAACTTGTGCTTTAGCTGGGTGATATGGTAGCTACTTCTACCTTCTGTTTTAGTTTTACATTTTTAGTAAAATAATATTAAATATTGTAACCATGAGTTTTTGTTGCCAGAACTTTTATGATTGTACACAGGACACTTTAACACACTAATTATTTCTCCAGCCCTCTTTAATGAACCTATAAAGCAAAGTAAATTTTATAATATCACATTTGAGGCAAATTGAAAATGTATTTGGGATCTGCTTTGTTTCTGGCTCCTGTGGTTGTTTCTGAAGCTTTTGCATATCATTTTAGAATACAGCCCTTTTTAGGTTTTTGGGAAAAGATATCAAATATGAAATTAAGGTGCTGTGTAGTTTATCCTCATTCAAGCATTGGTTTTCAAAAGATTTTAATTATTTTTGACCATCTTTTGGGTAACATCGACATATAAAACAGACGAAGGGGTCTATTTTTGGACTTACCCTGCAGCAGACTCTCCCTCCTGCAGGCTGAATAGGTAGAAACTGCTGTTGTAATTGTGTCCCTCTGTTGTAATTCCTTAGTCGATGGTTTCCTCTCTGTGCACACACTTCGTGGCACTCTTTAATCAAATATTTTGTTTGTTCATCCCTTTGAGAGTTAGACTGTAACTGCTTTGACATGTATGTATGTTCATATACAGTTAGAACTTCTCTATTTAGCATTTTGGGGAAGACTATGTGGACCGAAGTTTATTCATGTTGCCGCAGCTGGTCTCCTGTTCATTCAGCATCGGTTGCTGAACCTGACTTACCCTGTGAGGTAGAATTTTTGTTTTTTTTGTTTTTGTTTCCCCTTGCCAGTTATATCATGTCAGTAAATAAACAAGCCCCAGAATAGTACAACATAGATTTTTACTTGCCTTTCCCCTTTTTGGATTCAGAATTTAGGTACCAGATGGAGGCTAAAGGGCAGTAGCTTTGCACACTGGTGTTTGTTAGCACATGGAAGCTGTTGAGGAAATGACCAGGACTAGACACCCTTTTCAGATTAGCAAGGTGCATTCCCATAACTCCATTCCAGTAGACAATGTTGCCAGGGGGAAACAGGCTATTTTCTCTGCTATTGTGGAAAAATTTTGGAAAGTCCAGATTATCTGTATTCTTCATACTCTGGGATGGTCTCAGGCAGAGAGCTGTCTATTTAATTTTTACTACGAGGACCACATCCCTTGTCATTTTTGTGCTTCTCATTATGAGCCAAGATTTGAGAGAGATTATCAGTGTTAGAATTCTGTGAGGTTGCATCTAAAAGTTATCTCCTCTCAGGATAAAAGATTCAAGCAAATAAACATCACTTCTTCAGACTCCTTCTACAACTTAATATACACACTCAAGTTTTGATCTTCATTAAGTTCTTTCATATACAAGAACAGGCTGACACTTTAGCATTAAACTACTATCCTTTTTCTGGAAAAACAAAAATTCATCCCATTACCTCATCTGTACAATTACATTTTTTTCTGTCACCGTTGCTTCTAGCATAGTCTCAGCTATCCATATTAAACTGAATTTGTGGTCTACTTAACTAAATTCTAGTTAACAACCTTCACTGGTAGTTAGGTACTTGATAATAATTGCCTATGGTACACAAGCAGTTTAGCAGACTAGCAAGTATCATTTCCTGCAGCCACACATACTATTTTTACATCTTAAAGTACAAGGATGAACACACTTATTAACATGGTGTAGAGTTACAGTAACTTTGTAACAGTTTAACATACTTGTTAAAATATGCAGACTTGTACATATATTCATGTGCCACTTAACTGAAGGTATGTTCTGAGAGATGCACCATTAGGCGATTTTGTGGTGTAACTGTCATAGTGCACTTACTCTAGATGGTATAGCCTACTACACACCAAGGTCATCTGGAATAGCCTACTGCTTCTAGGCTCCCAGCCTCTATAACATATTATTGTATTGAAACTGCAGGCAATTGTAACACAATAGTATTCGTGTATCTAAACATAGCTAAACATAGAAATGGTACAGTAAAAGTATAATATAAAGATAAAAAGTGATACACTTGTATTAGGGCCCTTACCATGAATGGAACTTGCAGAACTGGAAATTTCTCTGGATGAGTCAGTCTTTAGAAATCAGCGATTATAATATGAGACTGAAAAGTTTAAGAAGATTAGGTCTAAGAAAAAGTTACTGGATATCTCAAAACAGAGGTAAATAATTTTCAAAGCAATAAATTTGAAGAGAATTAAGGATAGAAACTAAATACAGAAATTCACTGTGTTTAGGTTTAGCGTTCCACTGTAATTCTTTTTATTGTACTTTATCATTTTTGTTAGCAGACTGAAGGACAAGAGGAGAAAGTTCTTTGTAGTTAAGAAATGAAGACAATCGGTATGGACCACTTATTTGTGTAGATTAGCACTAAAAGAACAGATGATAACACATTCGTAAAAAATATAACAAGAAAAAAGCAAATTGAAAATAATTTACAAAAAGAAGAAAGACGTACAGGTATCCATTAAACATCTTAAGTGTCACAAAAACAAAATTTAAAAATAATGTCTCACATTTCAGATTATAAAAAGATTTTTTAATACAATATTCACTTTTAATGCAAGTGCAGTAGACTACTTTTCGACACGGCTAGGAGGAGTGCAAATTGAACAGCTTTCTGAAGGACAATTTAGTATTTAACATGTAATGTATGTTGACACAATGATTCCACTCCTAGCAAGTAATTTCAAAGAAATAATCAGAGATATTCACAGTGATATTTACATAAAAATGCTAACCTGATCAGTAGCTTGAAACAACATACTAGTATTACAATATGTAAGAGGCTTACATATATAATACTATAGCATAATGTATTCTAAATGTCTGTTGTAGAAAAGTATTTAATGATGTGATATAACATAACATATTATTTAAGTGTAAGCTCTGGAGTCAGATACCCGAGGTTCCCAGCCAAGTTCTGCCACTTATTTGTATGACTATATAAGAGGAGCCAATGCTTCCTTATATGTAAAACAGAAATCTAATCATAATAATTATCATAATTCTAATATATTTAATCAGGGCTATTTGCAAGATTAAATAAGATACAAAGCGTAAAGAGCATATAATACACTGCCTGACATATAGTAAGCACTCATAGCACACTGCCTAACATATAGTAAGCACTCAGTAAATATTATCTTGATGAGTAAAAAAGTACTAATCCCACAAAACTACATATTTATATTCTAATTTTGTTCAGTAAGTAAACAAAGGTGTATACATAATAAAAAAATCTGAAAGGAAATTCACCAACATAATTTTAATAGCGGTCAACTCTAGATGGTTGGATTACATGACATTTTTATTTTCCTCTTTAAATATTTCCACATTTTCCAAATTTTTAACCACGAACATATATTACATTTATAATTTTAACATAGTATGTAAAATCAGCACATGCTAATTTGACAGCTGATGGTAGCATTTAATTTAGTGACTATGGAAATGGCCTTTAGACTAATGGAAAACTTTTCCTTTAGACTGAAGCATTATAGTTACTTGTTTTTTATTAAAGTTGCATGTGCATAACCATAAAATAACTAGACTATATGTTTTGGACTCTAGGATCTATAATCTATAAACCAAAGCCAAAAAGACATTTTCTTAAAAATGTAAGAGATGGAGAATTAATACATGTGGTTTTGAGTTTCTGTTTTCAACAGAAATTTTACAGTGCTCATTATATACAGTATTTAAAGTTGTGCTTTATTACCAAGGTTTTAGAAATAACTAAGAATCTTGGAAATCATGTTTTAAGTTGGTAATCTAAAAAACATAATTACTATTGATATAAAAGTGTGAGAATTATGATTCAGTTTAGTTGAACACAATTTTGTATTTTTTTATGCTTTTAAACTTTATGTAGGAGACCTGTTAGTTTATCTGATTAGTATTCATATCTGAATGTTAGGAAGTTCAGATTAACTAGTCTTTTCATGAAAATACACATTCACTTCACAAAATCATGGAGAAAACAGCTGTGTATTTAAACCAAAATTATTAAATTAGTCTTATTTGTCAAAGACTCACTTTTATTACATGAACTTGAGCTCTTATTAAAAAATATTTCTGAGCATCTAACAGAGTTTTTAAGAAGGATTGTTTTCTCAAATGTCTAGCACATTTAAAGTTTTTATTAGATACTAGAAGATTTATGAAAGTGCTTAGGATTCTCTATGAACCAATTAGATTATCGCTTCTTTAATTTATTTATTAAACACACTCCTGTTAGGAACATATTTCATCCGCACACAGTGCAGCATGATGTCTTCTCTCAATTACGGCCACTCAGGCTCTGCAGCCTCAGAAACAGGTCAAGAGATCAAAGAAACACAAACCCACTGGTCAAGATTTCAAAGGGCTATTTTCCTTTCTAGTGTTTATTAAATTTTTTAATGAAATAGTTTGAACTCACAAATAGACAAAGAAATTAAAGGATCGCAACTCAAATTCTTTGTTGTCTCTCACATGGTAATAATAATAGATACCTATAATCCCAACAGAAGTCTCGAATGATCAGGTTATAAAATCATACTCCTGATCATTGCTGCTACCAGTGGGGAATTAGTTGTTGTTATCACTATCTAGTGCAAATTTGATCCAGAATTAAACTGGATAAGAACCAGGAAAAAAAAAAAATTACAGTACTAAATTAGGAAAAAAAAAAAAAGAAAAAAGAAAACATGGTGGTAGCAAAGATGAAATTTTGTTGCTGCTTTAGAATCACTTTAGAGACCAAGCTAAAATGTGGCTGGTCTTAATCCTTGAAATACATATCTCTGGTATTACAGTTGAATTGTCTTTGTGAATCTGTTCTGGCTTCTTGGTGGAACATCCAAAACTATTATAGGCTAAGAGTCAAGAACTAAAAAGATGACTTTTATAAATAAAAAATGAACATGTGTCAGGGTTTATTCAACTCACTAAGAGAACTGATAAAATGATAAATGTGGTTCAAAGAACATTTTAGGAGTAGGCATTTAAAGACAAGTTAATAAAGTAATATTAGAATAACATTGTTAAGATAGATATAAAACTAGTTAATATTCTACAGGGAAATAAACTATGGCTTATGGGATTATCTTTTCTAACAGAAGAAAAGTATCTGAATTTTTTCAGGGCAAAAATCTACAAATTAACATGCAACTTTACTATGTCCAGGACTTTTCATCAGTTTTAAACAGTGGATCAATTAAAATATATTCCCTCAAATTATCCTTAGTTGGTTCTGTGATGCACCTACATGACGTTGAAAGGACATGTCGACCTCCAATTGTTCTTATTTCTGAGCTTTAAATAACTTCTCTTAACACACAGCAGCAACACATGGTATGTACAACACTTATCCAGAGTAATTACAGTGGTACTCAGTTTTTATTGATGGGAAGAGTCAATATGGTAAGATGTCAGTTTTCCCAAAACTAATCTTAAAAACCAGTGAAATGATTTTGTTAATTTCTGTAACATTAAGCATTTGAATGAGATCTAGAGTTTATATATAAAAGACAAATTTTGTATCAATGAGTATCTTAAAATCAAGTATTTTGTTAATGAATTTATTGTGAATGATAATGTATTATCAGAAAAATTAATTGTGGGCAATTTGTTTCCTCTTCCCAAAGGATACAAGTCAATGACCAGATTGTGGAAGTGGATGGAATCAGCTTGGTGGGTGTCACACAGAATTTTGCTGCAACAGTTCTCAGAAACACCAAGGGTAATGTCAGGTAAATATGTGGCTTTAGATATGTACAATTTGGTAACTTGATATTTTGTTGAGTTTTGGTTTTCTATAATTGTACGTATAAATATATGTAATTACAATGAGAATGCTAAAATTTGCCTTTAGTTTTTAATTTTTCCTTCTTTATTGTAATTAGTTCATGTAAATATAACAAAACTATAAATTATAGTATTCTAGAAAGACATGACAATATGAAGTGTACAGCGAGAATCAATATTGTTGATTACTGAGCTACGTTAGTGATCATTCATACATCTAATGATACATATTATTTAGACAAGCAGGCTGAGTGTTTTGAGGTTGACGAATGCATTTTTAAAATCTTTTTATTGTTTTAAAGAATCAAGCAGGATTAATCTTCGGCAAGCTATAACTTTTCTAACTTAATAGGACAGAAAGTATTTTCTTTTGAACCTTGAAATTTATGTCCAGTCCTGGGGTTCTGAAAATTATAGATTGGAAAACAAATAAGAGAGTAGTCCTGAGCCAACTGAGGTCAAGGTTTGAAATTTGTTTTATTTGATCATAGTATACTTATTGTTAAATATAGTATTGTTTACATCTTATACTTTTCCATAAGTCCTATGAAGGAACACATAAGAGGACATTACTTAGTCTCTGTAATTATGAAAGTATTTTAGTGTTACTGCCATCTAAATGAAACTGACAAATATGTTGAAAATATTGGTGAGTTAATATTGCTATAAAGAGGTAACATTAGGATTTTATTGCAGTGTATTTTATGTTGCAGAAGCATGAGTTTAAGTTTTAGAATTTATACTTTTTCAGTTGGAAAGCACCCCTTAATGCCGAAGGTAATATTTTATAAATACAACCTCAGCAACTTTTATGGGTGCTATGTCACTGTTTCAAGAATACCCATAGTCCTGAGAAAAGTATGTAAAATAATCGGAAAGAGCGCAGGAGCAACTGTACTGTCCCCTCAGTAAATGCAATTGTGTTCTGAAGATTGCTGTTTGTTATTGAGGCAGCACTTTCCTGTGTCAGTATAGAACTTGGTTTTGAAGCTGCCCATTAGGGTTTAAAGTGAATTTAAAAGTGAAATAAGATACACATTCAACTTATAAGAACATTTCTCAGTTGGAAAAAAGTTTGTAGATACATGAAATTATAGCTATCCTTTCTTTCTCTTCATAATTTCCTGCTGTTATCATTTCAAGCATTGTACAAATCGCCAAAGGCTTGTTAACTGTTCTCCCTGATTTCAATCTCTCCCTTGAATCAGCCCTCATTCTTACCCCTAATAGAAGAAGGTAATAGCAGTTTTCAAATATATGAAGGGCTATCAGAAAAAGGAATTGACTCATTTTGTGTAACTCTAGTAGTACAACTAAGATCTGTGGGTAGAAATAGTAATTCTGCGTTTATCATGTCCCTCTCCTCTTCAGAAACTTCAGGGGACCTCCATTCGTTGAGGAATCTAAGCTCTTTATCCTGGTATTAAAAATCTTTCATCATCAGATCTTATCACTTACCTCTCCCTGGGTTCATGCTGTGGTGCAGTCATACCAGTGTAGTCATCATCCGTCAAATGTGACTTGTGAATTATTTTTTTGTGCTTTTTCTCTGCCATTTTTTTCTCTGTTTAAAATACTCTCTTCTGTTTAGAACCTACTTATCTTCAAGAACATATTTCAGATTCTTTTCCCTCCAAGAAGTCCTCCTTGACCTCACTGTCTCCTGGTTATCTCTTCTTCCTTGTGCACTTATCATTCATACCACTTTTTTGACTTTAGGTTAAGAGATCATTCTACTTTGATCTTATTTCCTCATTCACTTTGCAAAAATCTTGATTTTAAAATGGGATCTTTAGCTGCCTTTGTTCCCTCAAATTATTTAAACTGGGTCTTAAGTGATTGAAATTATGTAACGTGGGATCTTAATCAATTGAAATGTAAGGAAAAAAGTCTTTCCCCAATTTTAACTTATTAAAAGTAATTTTTGAATTCCTCCAAATATATTTTATGTGGGTAGTTCTTTATAAGGTATTAATATAAAAACAGGATCCAAAAACTAGACCTCTATTTTTAATAACCTGTTTTAAACTAAAGGTTTAAAATCTGTAGCATTCTGTATTTCTTATTCATTGATGACTGAGCTACCACATTCAGTGGTTACTAAACTTTATTTTTAAAAACATATCTGAAAAATTAGTAAACTTAGTTTGAATTTTTCTGACTACTAAGCACAGATCTGGAAGGGGTTGTTGGAACTTTTGTCTTTAAAGAGCCAGGAAGGGGAAACATAAGCTAGTGGCGATGAGAAAAGTAAAACAAATTTGAGTGGTGGTTATTTTTTAAGTATTAGAGATCAAGATTTTTATTTAATTCCTGAAAATGTACATGAAATCGGTGCCAGTGTTTGGATATGAATCGAAATCACACAATGAAGTTCTGTGACTTTACCCACACTTACAGAGAATCATTTTTCTCTGACCTCTTAGCCTGCTTTATTTCATTAAACTGAATTGCTATACCTGAGTTTATGAACTAATGGTACTAATGAAGACCCTGTTAATATGCAATTTTTAACATACTAGAGACCTCGTAATACAAATATTTTAATGCGATAATTTCCAGGGATATATATGTTTTTCAATCCTACATCATTTATATGATTTAAAGCATATTAGGCCACTGTGAAGAAGTGGTCCAGCTCAAACTAGGCTGGTTCCTGGGATAGCTATAATTTCAAAGCCTTGATAAATTATTATTTCCTTCATTTTACTGACATCACTTAGTTTAAGTCCTGACAGTGAGCACTGTGCCTTTATCATGTTAATTACTTTTATCAATTATGAAAAGGACTCACAAGACTCATAGTTTGTACTCAGAAATGATTACACAGGGTAACGGTGGGAGAAAGATAAGCATCAAAGGGGTGGGTGTGGGGGACTCAGACATACCCTTTTTTATCATCCATCCACTGGGTCTCCTGGGACTTGTTCATCTCCAAATTTTAAACCACCATGCACATGTTCATGAAGCACTTTGGTAGCAGGAAGCCCCAAGTCTTTGTGTGGTAGGGGTCTCTCATAGTGCTGGTCATGTAGGTGCATTCCTACTACATGACCAGCTTAACCACTGTAAACCCCTAGACTCCACCAAATCCAGGTACAAGTAATAAATACAATTATTATCACCAAACAGTTTTGATAGGCTGGTATGTCTTGCTTGAAACAACTCATGGACCCATGTTTGCAAAGTATCATGTATCCCTGATTAATACATTTCATAGCTTTATAAGCATTTGGTCTATCTAGAATGGCTCTAGATTAACTCATGCTATATAATACATTTGCATAACACATTTACTTTAGATTCCTTCTGACTTTTGACTTTGGATTCATGCTATTTAGTATGTCTTTATTATATATTTTAGTGTTACCTGGTAAAAACCTAGGAAGAAAATTTTAGCAGTTTTTTAAAAACCTTTAATGTGTTTGGTGGTTGATAGTAACTTTCCAAGTGTAATATAGTTTAAAAGTTAGAATAAAGTTTTATTCTCATTGTCATATCCTGTATTATGTAAAAAATAATTTAGGTAGTTTAGATTCAGTTCATTTGAATAAGCAAGTTCATCTACCTATTCACAATTATATATATATATATACATGTATTAACACATACTAAATTATGCTTTTCTTGGAGATCCTGAAAAGATCCTTATGTTTGTTGGCCCATGTTTAGTTATGGAGAAAATAATTTTAAACTTGAAATTATAAAGTTATTAGAAAAAAATAACAGGAAGTAGTTCAAAAGATGAAAATCACTGGTATACCTATAGAAAGAAAGTAGGAATCACTAGATATTTATAGACTAAATCAAAGTTATATAAAACTACCTTTCCTTTATTTTTGGATATGGAATTTAGTCTTATGTGATGGCTTTTTTTTTTTGCCAGAGATGTCCCAAATTAAGACATTTGGTTCACTCTGTTGTGTTTTATCTTTGCGGCTAAGAGGAAAAATGTGTTTTGGGTTGTAGTGTAGGTAGCAGATAGGTAAAATCATAGAAGACTTTTCTATTACAAGCTATAAATAATATTTAATATATTCATTGATATTAATTTCTGCTCTTAGTACCAGGAAATATTCTCTTTCTCTATAACTGCCTTTTTTTTTACATGAAGCCAGACTTCGTGGATTCAGATTCTGGCTTAACCACTTGTCAGATGTCTGAGTTTATGGAAATGTTTAAATCTCCCTCTGCCTCAGTTTCTTCATCTATAAAATGAGCATCATGATAGTACCTAACCCATAGATTTGTGCTGAGTATTAAATGAGTTAATACATGTTATGTATTTAAATGAATGCATAGAAAAAGTTAGAATTAAATAAAATACTAGCTATTAGTGTTTTCTTCTGAAATCTCTGATCACTTCTTAGATGTTCATGTAGATTGCTAGAAAACCAAGAGTCAATTTTATAGCCATTTCTAACAAAGGCACAGAATCTTATCGTGTGAATTTGTATACTAACTTTATTCTTTTGAATCCTTGTGTTTTTTAATTTTTATAATTTTCTCTATGTGCCATTTTCCTCTTTGATTGGTTAAAAATAGTTGAATAAAAGAAATGAACACACATGAACGAAAATAGTCAAATTGTTCAATAGTATAAAAATAAAAAATGAGTATTCTTTTCCTCTTACTCCATGTCTTAGTCTACACAGGAAACCATTAATAGTCTCTTCTTTTCATTCTTTTGGGGGTGCCAATATAAGTCTTGGATACGTGAAGATGAATTTAGAGTTAAAGCTTTTCAGCAAAGAAAATTTCAGTTCCAGTTTGTTTCATTGGTGAATCTTACCAAACATTAGAGGGAGAAATAACATCAATTCTGTACAAACTTTTGCAGAACATAGAAGAGGAGACGTATCTCAACTTCTTTTATAAGGCCAGCATAACCAGCATGCCAAAATCAGAAAAGGACATTAAAAGAAAAATTATTACGCATCAATAT